GGACGAGAAAGTGTTTAGTTGGATCAGGAGAAGAAAGTACAGGTGATTTAATGAGCGCCGTCTTGAGCTGTTGGAAGGCCTGTTCACACTCTGGGGCCCATACTACTATCTTGGGGAGGTTTTTACACGTTCCTATATGGCACTTACTGGGCTTTAGGGTCAGTCCGGACTCCCTAATCCGGTCTATTACGGCTCCTATGTGGGTCAGGTGTTCGGGCCAGGAGCTGCTAAAAATGTCTATACCATTCAAGTAGGTGTGTATCAGTGTGTATCAGGGATCCTTAGGACAGGTGTCAATCCATATCTGCCAAGTGACCCTATGTTGGGGTAACATTCCCTATTCTGATCTGTGTCAGTGTGTATCAGGGGCTCTGAGGACAGGTGTCAATCCATATCTGCCAAGTGACCCGATGTTGGGGTAACATTCCCTATTCTGCTCTGTGTCAGTGTGTATCAGGACCACTGATAGGAGACGCGGAAGGTATTAAACTGATAAAAAATAGTACTAAACACTCCACTCCTATCTGGTGTCACATTAGCTTGACCGCGCAGTGCCCCAAATTTGCAGTAAGAGGACCGACCAAGCCTCTTCTTCCATCTCCCTGTTACAAAAATCAATGCCGTGTACGCGACCACTGATAGGAGACGTGGAAGGTATTAAACTGATCAGAACAATACTAAACACACCACTCCTATCTGGTGTCACATTAGCTTGACCGCGCAGTGCCCCAAATTTGCAGTAAGAGGACCGACCAAGCCTCTTCTTCCATCTCCCTGATACAAAAATCAATGCCGTGTACACGTCCACTGATAGGAGACGCGGAAGGTATTAAACTGATAAAAATAGTACTAAACACACCACTCCTATCTGGTGTCACATTAGCTTGACCGCGCAGTGCCCCAAATTTGCAGTAAGAGGACCGACCAAGCCTCTTCTTCCATCTCCTGTTACAAAAATCAATGCCGTGTACACGACCACTGATAGGAGACGCGGAAGGTATTAAACTGATCAGAACAATACTAAACACACCACTCCTATCTGGTGTCACATTAGCTTGACAGCGCGGTGCCCCAAATTTGCAGTAAGAGGACCGACCAAGCCTCTTCTTCCATCTCCCTGTTACAAAAATCAATGCCGTGTACACGACCACTGATAGGAGACGAGGAAGGTATTAAACTGATCAGAACAATACTAAACACACCACTCCTATCTGGTGGCACATTAACTTGACCGCGCAGTGCCCCAAATTTGAATTAAGAGGACCGACCAAGCATCTTCTTCCATCTCCCTGTTACAGAAATCACTGCCATATCCATACAAATTGTACAGAATGTCCAGGATAGTTTTCCAGGGACAAATGTTGTCGCCTGTTGAACGAGGTGACCTTGCTCAGGTCCCAGGTGTGCGGTTCCTAAAATGGCTGCCATATACACGTCCACTGATAGGAGACGCGGAAGGTATTAAACTGATCAGAACAATACTAAACACACCACAAATAAGGTTTCTCTCCTGTATGGCTCCTCAAGTGATGCTTAAGATTAGAAGCGGCTGAAAAGCATTTCTCACACTCCGAACAAAAATATTTTTTTTTAACATTCTCTCCACTTTGAACGAAATGACGTTTGGGAAGAGATTAACATAATTAAACACAGGCAGTAAAAATACAGTTTTTAGCCATACCCTGTAACTTTAAAACTACATCCCATCTTCATAATTACATATTTGGAATCAGCACACTTAAAACATAAACATAACCAAAAATCAGCCAAATCCATCCAGGGGTTAAAAAGTTAGCTGGAGGTCCCTTTATGACCGACCGCAAGCACATTTTCCTGCCAAAACAGTTCCATAGATTTGGGCTGTGAGGTCGGTCTATTTCAGGCTGAAAAAACGACTAAGTCCCATCGCGAATGGGACTTAGTCTCTGCAGCTGAATTAAGGCTGAAAAAAACGGCTGAAAAAAAGACTAAGTCCCATCGCCGAATGGGACTTAGTCTCTGCAGCTGAAATAATTTCCCATTTACTGAACCAAGTGGGAAATAGCAAGGCAGGCACAAAGGGTTTGCACCAGGTCTGGGGACACAGGGGACACCGTCTTAAAGGGCCGTGTCCCCAACAAGTCTGGGGACACGGCCTTAAAGGGGCAGTGTCCCAATCTTCCTGATGTCCCAAAAAAGGTGTTTAAAGGGCCAGCACCAGTCACATAAAGAGTCCATAAGCCCCAATATGCCCACCGACAGTCTTAAGGGCCATACACACCAAATAAAAGTGCATACATTTTCACAATCTCCCAGGGGCCATAGTCATGCGGGAGGAGGCTGGCAAATAGGCTTCTCCACAACCCAGGGGAGCAGGGCAATTTGCCATTTAAAGGGCCCGTTACAAATAGCAGTTTGTAACAAGGTGTCAATCCATATCTGCCAAGTGAACCGATGTAGGGGGAACAGTCCCTATTCTGCTCTGTGTCAGTGTGTATCATGGTCTCTGAGGACAGGTGTCAATCCATATCTACCAAGTGACCCTATGTAGGAGGAACAGTCCCTATTCTGCTCTGTGTCAGTGTGTATCGGGGATCCTTAGGACAGGTGTCAATCCATATCTGCCAAGTGACCCTATGTAGGGGGACCAGTCTCTATTCTGCTCTGTGTCCGTGTGCATCAGGGGCTCTGAGGACAGGTGTCAATCCATATGTCAGGGTGTCAATATGTCATATGTCAGGTGTCAATCCATATTCATTGTGATTTAGGAATGTTAGGTGATTTCTGCCCTTTATGGATTAAAACCAGACTCTGTATCAACTGTATAATTTTCCATGGGAGTTTTGCCATGGATCCCCCTCCGGCATGCCACAGTCCAGGTGTTAGTCCCCTTGAAACAACTTTTCCATCCCTATTGTGGCCAGAAAGAGTCCCTGTGTGTTTTAAAATTCGCCTCCCCATTGAAGTCAATGGCGTTTCGGGCGGTTCGCGATCATTTGCGGAAGTTCGCGTTCGCCGTTCGCGAACCGAAAATTTCGGGTTCGCGACATCACTACCCAAGAAGTACTTCTCATAGTCCAACTTGAGTTATGCAGGTGATGCCTAACAGTACATTTTGTATCTCAATGAAAAACATGTATTAGAACAAAGCAAGTCTATCATGATTATTCACCAAAGTAAGAAATAATGGGAATTTAAGCAACATTTTTTTTTTATAATTCTTTATTTTGTTAGTGCGAGTGGTTAACAGACTGGTTTGCTCTGCTACAACGGCAGGTGCAAACTGGATATAGACATGGCATAACATCTCTATGAACAAGAGAGGCATTGCATATTAGTTATGTACAAGGTGAGAGCAGTTAAAGCCGGGTGACATTTGTGCGCTACGGTACATGGTGTGTTTCCGTTATGCAGAGCTATCAATAACACTATTTTTTTAATGTATCCATTTGTGTTCAGCTAGGGTGTTAAATCCACAGGGCAACCAAGGTGTCGGGAACTTAGAGTTTAGCTGAGGTCTACGAACTTATGTCGTGAATTTGGTGGCCCTGTAGTGGGTGTCGGTAGTGAGTCAATGAGGGGTATAGTGTTGTGTGAGTCACGATTCTAGCTGTCATTGACCTATATAAGTGTGTGGGTTCAGGCTCGTTTGCAGTGTCCACTCGCATCTCGGGATGGACCTTAGCGGGTGAGCTGTGCGGGTCATCAGGTCAGTAATGGTCCTAATTGTGAAATGACTCGGTGGTTGCTGATACGGGCGGGTGTGGTGCCCCTAACCTAAGGGGGCTGCGGAGGGGGGGAGGGAGGTAAAGACGCCAGGTGGCAAGTGTGGAATTTAAGCAACATTTAAAAATGTAGTCAAATAAGAAAAAAATCTCAAAGTCAATTCTATTTTCAATGCATATCTATGAAGAGATGCTGATTGGCCAGGGCTGTGTTTGACTTATTCTGGCTCTGCCCCTGATCTACTTCCTTGACAGTCTCAGCCAATTCTATGGAAAAGCATTGTGATTGGCTCAGATAATCACTCATGAGGATGTCAGCCAAGCAGGCAAATCAGGGGCAGAGGCAGCAGCTGGATATTTGAATACAAGTATATGGAGGTTTTAATACTATAGGGTCAGGAATGCATGTTTGTGTTCCTTTAAAGCATTTCATAAGCATACCATAATTTTCTTTTCCTGGTCGTAGGCCATGGCAGCACAACAATGGGTAGCTCCTCCCTATCCCTAATTAGACAGAAACCTAATTAAAACAGAAAGTATAAGTAAACCCTCCTACCCCTCCCACCCTCAGTCTTGTTTCCAGCAATATCCCAGGGCGGGATCTTTGTGCTGCCATGGCCTATGACCAGGAAAAGAAAATTACGGTAAGTAGGAATAAACTTTCCTTTTCCCTGGCCATATCCATGGCAGCACAACAATGGGTAATACCCAAGCAATAACCAAGGGAGGGAAGAAATACAGAAGACTTCCAAAATTTGAATGCAAATTGACAACACACTCCTCATAAGGACATTGGAAATGAAAAACTGATTTCCCACTGTAACAGACCACCTGGCACCCCGACTGGGTACCTCCGTTGATGGATGCTCCTAGTGCTTCCTGAGGGCTACAAGCACTCCTCCAAACACCATAACCACCGCAGACCCCACGAACCGCCGCAGCTTGGTTGGGGTCTCGCCATCTCCTACCCACCCTGGACCTATGACAAGGCTCCAGGTTCCAGTGGGTGAACCTCTCCTCCAAGAGAGTGAAGCAGGAACAAGCTCTTAAAAGAGCTTAGTAGTGATTATCCAAGGGAGTATGCAGAGTATAGCAATCCCTTGTAGTGATATAGCAATTCCCCCAATAAGAGACAAGACTCTAGATTGAGGGTTAAGCAGGAACCGAATGAACTGAGGGTTCATTGTCTCTTTTATACAGGTTTTCCCAAAAGGTTACCACCCATGTAGACCTTGTGGTACACAGGACACAAAGTTACAAAGCCAATCAAAACACTCTTGTACAATTAGGCACTCCCAGATAATGTACACAAACCCTCCCCTCTGCCTGTGATACAATTAACAAACACAATGGACTAACTCAATTACCCATAGGCAGAAAACACACATTTTTCACAAAACACAGAAAACACCCCAAAACACCACACATCCCTGGATAGCCCTGATCTGGGTAAACAACATATCCAATAATCAGAGCAGGGGTTCAAAAGCTTTGTGGAAGTCACATTTTGACCGACCGCAAGCATGGCTTTCATGCCCAAAACAGTGCCACAGATTTTGGCTGTGCGGCTGGTCTATCTTCTCCTCTATTCTGGAGATAATTGGCTGTGGTAAGCCCATTATCTCCAGTACAGGGAATATCCCTAAGTCCAAAAACTGTTACAAAAACCACATAAAAATACATAACTCTTATAATACAATGTTTGACCTATATGTCCAACATATCCCCAGATAGCTCAATATGTCCAAAAAGTGCTCAGATCTCACGAATACAGTTGGATCGACATGGGGTTAAACAATAGCAAGGGCTGGTGAGAGATTGAGGAAGGACAAAGCAGCCAGTTTCAACTGGTCTGGCAGTGTCCCTGGGACAACGCCCTGCTGGAGAACAATGGACAGGAAAAAGGGGAAGTGGAAGAGGCACATTTTCCCATGGATTTAAAGGGACAGAACAAGTGTCCCAAAATCCAACAAGTGACAGGGGCCATAATCACTAGCAAAAGGCTAGCCATTAGTCCTCTCCCAGAACAAGTGGCGAAGGGCACTTCCTCACACCCACTTTGACACATTATCAAATTGACCAACTCAAATGTACCAAATAATATGTCTGAAATTATTGCTTGAGGACCAAGCAGCCATTTACCTATAAGTTCCAGGAAAACTTGGCCACTGACGCTCAAGAGGAAGAAATGGCTCTAGTGGAGAGCAAACAGACTTTCAGCTACTGTAACCCCTAGGGCTTAGCCAAAAGTATCTATCTGAAATCTGCTGATGGCTTATATAGAGGCTTGAAGAACTTTTCTGCTTCATTAGTAAAGATAAACAGACTATCAGAAAAAAGCCAGATAGAGGATCTATAAAAATAGATCATAAGACATCTATCAATGTGCCCATTTGTTTGTAATTGTTCAGTTTATGCTTTTGATACGTATTTAGGACCGGAGGAGAGAGTTTCATTACTGACTGCTTTCTAATCATTAGGCTTTATATATATTGTGGAAGGCAGTAAAGAGTTCTATGTAAAATAGTGCTTGAAGATCTGATATCCTTCAGCCCGATGATAATGTCACTGATATAGCTAACTTAATATTAAGCAGTTATGGACAGATAGTCTCATGGTTTCAAAGCCCTTAAAAAAATACAGGGAATAATTCCACGGGGAGCAATGGTTAACCGAAGGATCATATAAATACAGCCAACAGATATTTAGATACAGTGTCGTACATACAATCCATAGGGCCCCGGTGCGAAACTGATCCATTCCGCCCTCCCCCCGGACACATACAGACACACACACACATACATACATACAGACACATACAGAGACACATACACACAGACTGATACATACAGACAGACACACCCCCGACAGACAGACATACATATATACATACAGACACACCCGACAGACACATACATATATACATACAGACACACACATACAGTCTGTATTAGGGATGCACACATACACCTGCCTATCCCGTTTCGTCCGAAAATGGGTCAAATTTGCCACAAAAAAACCCAAAAACACTATGGGACAGGGGAGGGGGGGAGAACACTATGCGACAGGGGAGGGGCTGACAGGAGGGGGAGAACACTATGGAATAGGAGGGGGGAAGAACAATATATGACAGGGGAGGGGTGGAAGAACAATAGGGACAGGGAGGGGGAAGAATAATAAGGGACAGTGAGGTAGCAAACACTGACAGGGGAAACCACCATGGGATGGGAAAGAACACTACAGGACAGGGGAGAGGTGAAGAATACTCTTACAGGAGAACAGGGGAGGGGGGAGAACACCTGGTGGACAGGTGAGGGGAGAACACGATGGACAGGTGGGGGGAGAACACCATGGACAGGAGAGGGGGGGAAGAACACCATGGACAGGAGAGGGGAAGAAACACTCATGGGACAGGGAAGTGGTGGGAAGGGAAAAGAACACCATGGGGCTGGAGAGGAGGGGGGAAAGAACATTATGGAACTGGAGAGGAGGGGGGGAAAGAAAACTAAAAAAGAGGGAGGGAGAGGAACACCAGAGGGGGAGAGGAAACATTGCTTGGGGGGGAACCACTAAAAGAGAAGGGAAGTTTTTCATATTCGATTAATTAAATTAATTAAAAAGTCTAATATTAAAAAAATTATAGGAAAAAACTTTTTTTTAAATCATTTGGGGGAAAAAAAAGTCATTTTCGGTTTCGGTTTTCGGCCAAGGGCATCCTGAATTTTCGGTTTTGGTGCATCTGTATGTATGTGTCTGTATGATACAAAACACATACAGAGACACACACACACACAGACAGACACACATATACAAAATGTTTAAATCACCCTCCTGTTTCCTAACTTTTGCAGGAGGGTGACTTTCCCTGTGGTCCAGTGGGGGCTCAGCCTGATGGGAGTCAGAATTCCCACTGACTCCCTCCTCCTGCGCGGCTCTCAGATAGCTGGGAGGAGTGACCGGGGCAGTCACTTCCTCCCAGCTCTGTCTGATATCATCACAGGGGGCCCGGTCGTGCTGTTAAAGCACCCAGCGCTGTCCGGGCCCCCTGAAAATCCATATCCATCGAGTGGCCCTAACAGCATGGGCGACCTGATGGGCCCCTTTCATGTGCGGCCCTGGCGGTTTGCTGCGCGGGCCAGGACCACAAAACATGGCGGCGGATATTCGGTGGCAGGGGTCCACAGCTGCGACCCCTGCGACCGCAGTATGTGCGCAAGTGTTTATATACCTCCATATCAAAGCCTTGAAAAGAGAGATCAGAGAGTGCTGAGACCTGTACCTCTGAGGTGATGTGGCTAATTCCTAGATGAGTCCTGGATTGAAGAACTTAGAACCTCTTTGGTAGAATGAAATTGAATGACCCCCTACTTAGAAATAGACCAGGAAAAAAGGCATCCCAACTCTGTAAAATTAGCCAAGGATATGCATTTCCCATTACCTTCAGAAGGGTATTCATTACTGTATTTGAAAAATCCTTATATTTAAGCCTTCTTTACAATATCCAAAACCTTCAGAATGAGGAAAGTAGCACTGGACCTGATGAAAGAGGGAAGAACTCTTTTGGGAGATCCCATGGAGGTACTGAAGAAGATAAGCAGAAGTGGAAACCATGGACTGGGTACCAATATGGAACTGTCAGGATGATTGATATTAGCTGTGCAACCTAGAGAAGAGAAGTGTTGGGTGTTAAGGGTGTTGTGACGAGAGCAATCCAATTGCATTGGAGAAGCCTTGTTGCTCGCCTGTTGCCTTTGGATTATGGCCCCATGTTAAAAGGCTTGATTTTCCCCTGCAAAGACAAGAAAGCCGGGTCATTTGGTGCTTGCCCTGTTTGAACAGTGATACCCCAGATAGCTATGCCATGGAGCCCATTCGTATAATGAAAGACTATGGGAAAGACTTTGGCTCCATGGCAATTGAACTATATGTGTGTGCTCTGAGCGCCATTCAGTAATAATGTGCGCTCAGACCTAAGCTATCTGGGCATATGTTGCATGTCTGTATTTTATGTCATAAATGTAACCTTGTGTATTTTATTGTATTTTACTGTCTTTTTGCTGCCATGTGTTCAATGGAGTTTTGCCTCTGTCTATGGAGATAATTGGATTACTTCTAATTATCTCCAGGATAGAAGACTCTGTGGAACTGGTTTTGGGCAGAAAAGCCATGCTTCCTGTGGTCACAAAGGATTACAATCTATTTTTTGAACCACTGGACCAATTTGTATGATTTTGACGTATGTTTGTATTTGGAGTGAATGTGAATGTGATGCATACTTTTCAAGTTATGAATAATGTGGAAAAATTGTATTCCTCTGCTTGTTATAATTACATTACCCATTGTGTAAGGTAATTGAATCACATGCAGAGGGGAGGAATTTGTGTGGGAGTGTCTGAGTGTATTGTATGTGTTTATTGGTTGTGTTCCAAAACCCTGTGGGTGGTACTAATGTGTAAGAATGTGTACATAAGCACAATAAACCCACAGCTCTGACTGTTCAATGCTTGACCCTCAACACGGAGCTTTGTCTCGTTCTTGGGGGGATTTATTGTATGCTGTTCCAGTTTGACTGCTAGGAGTGTAAACCTATTCGTATGGTTTTTCCTATTCGGCTGTTTACAGCATTCATATGGTTTCCTGTTCGGCGGATTGGTGTTCTGCAGTAGCTGTGCCTGCATCTCTGGAAGGGGACAATCGCCTAAACGGTTTTAACCCCTTGTGTGCTGAAACGGTCCGTTACAGGTGTCCCTTTCATGAATGTATTAGATTTTTGAAAAAAGTTCCTCAACCTCAGTGTATGGTATTCATAGTTATCCCTGTCCAAGGGATTAGTATAGGAAAGTTAAAGGACCACTCTAGGCACCCAGACCACTTCAGCTTAATGAAGTGGTCTGGGTGCCAGGTCCTTCTAGGGTTAACCCATTTTTTTTATAAACATAGCAGTTTCAGAGAAACTGCTATGTTTATGAATGGGTTAAGCCTTCCCCCAAATCCTCTAGTGGCTGTCTCATTGACAGCCGCTAGAGGCGCTTGCGTGCTTTTCACTGTGAAAATCACAGTGAGAAAACGCAGGCGTCAATAGGAAAGCATCGATAATGCTTTCCTATGCGATCGGCTGAATGCGCGCGCAGCTCTTGCCGCGCGTGCGCATTCAGCCGACGGGGAGGAGAGGAGGAGGATCGGAGGCAGAGAGTACCCCACCCAGCGCTGGAAAAAGGTAAGTTTTTCCCCCTTTCCCCCTTCCAGAGCCGTGTGGGAGGGGGACCCTGAGGGTGGGGGCACCCTCAGTGCACTATAGTGCCAGGAAAACGAGTTTGTTTTCCTGGCAGTATAGTGGTCCTTTAACCTCCACCCTTGTGCCATCTTTTATGTGAATGTGATGCATACTTTTCAAGTTTTGAATAATGTGGAAAAATTGTATTCCTCTGCTTGTTATAATTACGTTACCCATTGTGTAAGGTAATTGAATCACATGCAGAGGGGAGGAATTTGTGTGGGAGTGTCTGAGTGTATTGTATGTGTTTATTGGTTGTGTTCCAAAACCCTGTGGGTGGTACTAATGTGTAAGAATGTGTACATAAGCACAATAAACCCACAGCTCTGACTGTTCACTGCTTGACCCTCAACACAGAGCTTTGTCTCGTTCTTGGGGGGATTTATTGTATGCTGTTCCAGTTTGACTGCTAGGAATGTAAACCTATTCGTATGGTTTTTCCTATTCGGCCGTTTACAGCATTCATATGGTTTCCTGTTCGGCGGATTGGTGTTCTGCAGTAGCTGTGCCTGCATCTCTGGAAGGGGACGATCGCCTAAACGGTTTTAACCCCTTGTGTGCTGAAACGGTCCGTTACAGGTGTCCCTTTCATGAATGTATTAGATTTTGGAAAAAAGTTCCTCAACCTCAGTGTATGGTATTCATAGTTATCCCTAATATGGGTCTCTAATTTAATGTCTAAATACAGACGAATGTACTGGTATTTGTTTCAAGGATTGAGAAAATAAATGCAGTGCTTGGTGATAAGCTTATTGGGATATTTGAGTAGCGTATTACAGATTGGGTAATAAGTCGATCGTGAAGCTAGCGGTGAAAGTAACCAAAGTCACAATATCTTATGCCCCAATTATAATATCCTATTCTTGCATGGTGCCATAAGGTAGCTGGTATATTGGAAGCCGTAAAATTGGCTTTTTTCAATATGCAAAGTTACAATGCAAAGTTACAACACTGCCTTTATTTGTATAGATAGACTGATATATTCATAGATGAGCCTAATGTGGATACACTCAATTACATCCAAATAGATGTCTAGACTGACAAATTGCAATGTCGGCTGGATTCAAATAAGGATCAACGGTACCCACTAGGTCGTCCCTGCTACAACTTCTATGATAGCACCCAGCCACCTCAAAAAAAGTGATTTTCAGTATAGAGATTGCTTCAAAGCAGTATTGGATACCTCTCTGTATCGACTAAAAGATGCACAGCTGTCTATCTCACAGTGAGTAATCTGTTAAAGAATGCTGTCTGGATCTGATTTAGTGATACGCTAGGTAAGGTAGAGTTAAATTCTAGCTGCAAGGTAGTATCGGGTGAACCAGGTGGTGATCTGATAAATCCTTGTGCTGACTGAAAATATAAGCTGTCTCTAATACTGTCTGAGCCTGGCTACAGTATAAACTTCATAAATTGCAAAAAGAATCCCTCTATCAATCTCCCAAAATAATCTTAAGTGAGATAAAAGTAAAGAAACAAAATAAAGTAGTGGTCCTAGTCTAAAAGAAACCCACAGTAGTGGAAATTAGCCCAACGCTCATTTCGACGCTATCATGCGCCTTTGTCAAGAGCTTCCTAGTGTGAGGAGAAGCATCCTGGAGACGCTGGAATTGTTATGAATTTATAATGGAGGAATAGAGCTAGCCACCGTGCAGCATCCTTGTCTACAGAGGCATCCTAAGGGCGAGGATTGGAGAGCTAGTGGCCCAGAGTGGGTGCCAAGCAAACATGATATATCGCAATGAGGGCACCTCCTACATTCATGAGATAAAGAAACTGTTAGCCAGATATGGCCCAGATCCTTCGGAAGAGACTATCGAGGCCACCATGCAAGAGTTGGACAATGAGAACCGAGCAGCATGGCACCTCGAGCTCAGGTTATACGTGGCCATCTTAAGCCATGAGCACAATGAGCGGTGTTTGGTCGTCGACGGCGCGAACACCGCTAAACACATACCTTCCACGGATGTTCAGCAATTCGAATGGGAATCGAACAGCGTTCAGTGGAAATAAACTCCCGAACAATACAAATAAATTGAGCCTTCTCCCGAAGCTATACGTTCGGTTCTATGCAACTTAGAAGGGCACTGTTGGGTGAAATCATTCGCCTGGATGAGGGGAACAAGCTCCAGGGTAAGACTACTGACTCTGTTCAGTAGTTTGTTCATTTTCAAACTGCCGAACTAGACCGACGGCAAGCCCTGATACTCTGGAACTGTTTTGGGCATGGGACCATGTCTGTAGTTGGTCAAATAAATGACTTCCAGAAAATTCCTGAACCCCTCAACTGATCTGGGTGATTTTTGGATATGTTGATCCCCCAGATCAGGGCTATCGAGGGGATGTAACTTTTGTTGGGTTTTATGTGTTTTGGGGGTACGTTTGAGGTGTTTGGGAAAAAGTGTGTTTTTCTGTTCTTAGAGATAATTGGATTAGATTAGTACAGTTCCTGATCCAATTATCTCCCAGGCCCAGAGGAGGGATTATCTGATTATGTGTCACGTATTCATCCACACATAAAAATGTGGTTAATGGCATTTACTGTCCTGACAGGAAAAGTTGTACTGAGCAACATTTTTGTCCTGACAGGAAAAGTTCTGCTGAGCAGCAATCATGCACATGGAAACCTGGTAATTACTTTTGGGGTCAACGGCCGGTCATGGCCAATCAAATCCACAGGAGGGTTTGTGCTGAGTAGCAATCATGCACATGGAAACCTGGTAATTGCCTTTGGGGCCAAAGGCCGGTTACAGCCAATTGGATCCACGGGAGGGTTATTTAAACCCAATTCTCCTCTTGCTCATTGCCCTGTCCTGGTTTCATGCCTATGGTTATCCGAGAGTGCGATCCTGATCTTGATTTTCTGGTATTTGACTTTCCTGATATCTGGTATCCTTGACTTTTGGCTTTCCCTCATCTTTGTGTCCTATTCTGTGTCCCTGACTTCGGCAAGTATTTTGACTATTCTTGGAGACGTTAAGTCCTTAGTCCTAGGTGTGACACAGTACTGCGTGCTGGATCAACTTGTAATCCTGACATTACGACATGGCCATAGATCCTGCAGAGTTGTGTCAGCACATAGCAGCTTGTGAGAGAAAGCTAGAGGAGAATGATCACCATATCGATCAATTTGCCCAGGCTTTTAGAACTCTCCTTACTAGGATGGCTCGTTTACAACCTGAGGCTTCTCCAATTATGATACCACTGCCTAATGTACCTCCACCTATAGTATACAAGGCACCTACAATCTCCTTATGTCCTCCCCCGCATCTTTCTGGTAATATCCAGAAATGTAGGGGATTTCTCAATCAGATTGAGTACCGCTTTGAGGCCTCACCTGGTTCATTTCCTTCAGATAGAGCTAAGATTGGGTATCTGATGAACCAACTTAAAGGACCACTATAGGCACCCAGACCACTTCAGTTTAATGAAATGGTCTGGGTGCCAGGTCCAGTTAGGGTTAACCCTTTTTTTTTTTATAAACATAGCAGTTTCAGAGAAACTGCTATGTTTATAATAGCGTTAATCCAGACTCCAATGGCTGTCTCTTGACAGGCGCTTGCGTGCTTCTCACTATGATTTTCACAGTGAGAAGACGCCTGTGCATGCTTTCCTATGGACTGGCTGAATGCGCGCGCAGCTCCTGCCGTGCATTTGCATTCAGCCAAAGAGGAGGAGAAGAGGGAGGGGAGGAGGAGAGCTCTCCGCCCGGCGCTGGAGAAAGAGGTGAGTTTAACCCCTTCCTCTCCCCAGAGCTAGGAAAACGAGTATGTTTTCCTGGCACTATAGTGGTCCTTTAAAGGACCACTATAGTGCCAGGAAAACATACTCGTTTTCCTGGCACTATAGTGCCCTGAGGGTGCCCCCACCCTCAGGGACCCCCTCCCGCCTGGCTCTGGAAGGGGGAAAGGGTTTAAAACTTACCTTTTTCCAGTGCTGGGCGGAGAGCTCTCCTCCTCCGACCCTCCTCCTGGGCTGAATGTGCACGCGCGGCAAGAGCTGCGCACAAATTCAGCCCGTCGCATAGGAAAGCATTTACAATACTTTCCTATGGACGCTTGCGTGCTCTCACTGTGAAAATCACAGTGAGAAGCACGCAAGCGCCTCTAGTGGCTGTCAATGAGACAGCCACTAGAGGAAACAGGGGGAAGGCTTAACCCATTCATAAACATAGCAGTTTCTCTAGCTGGACCAGGCACCCAGACCACTTCATTAAGCTGAAGTGGTCTGGGTGCCTAGAGTGGTCCTTTAAAGGTAAGGCCTTAACCTGGGCTAATCCATTGTGGGAAAGTAATAGAAGTACCGCTCATTCTTACCAGAAATTCCTGGCGGAATTCAAACTCACGCTTGAACCATTAGGCAGAGAGGAAGACGCCTCCACCGCCCTAATTCATAGCAAACAAGGGAACTGGTCTATCTGGGATTATGCCATAAAATATTGTACCTTGGCATCTGAGGTAGACTGGACTAACAACGTATTAATCGCTACTTTTAAAAAAGGATTATCCGAAGCTATACTTGATGAAATTGCTGCCAAAGACCTACCTAAGGGGTTAAATTACTTTATTACCTATGTTATGCAGATCGATAATAGAAAAATTACTAGAAACAGAACTAGACATTTGACTATGTCACTAGCATCTCGATTCTCCAAACCAGTTGTCCCTGACCTCTCAACGCTGTCTGAACCCGAACCTATGTAGTTAGGGGTTACAGGACTGTCTGAGGCAGAGAAACAGTATAGGAGAAGAGAGGGTCTATGTTTATATTGTGGCAAAAAAGGGCCACATACGTCCGGAAAACTTCCGTACCTAAGAACCTTAAACTCAAACTCATATTACTCATGAGACCTTGCCTATTTGCATTACGATAGGAGCTTTGCATAAGGAAGACATTACTTTCCAGATAATTGCTTCCCCTTCTTGTGCCATTGTATTAGTGTTGTGCCATTGTATTGACTGGACTAGAGGGGAAATACTGGAATGGGGTAGAGACTGTCAGAAAAGTGGGCATCGTTTCTTTACCCGCTGCTACGTCTCCGACTCTCGAAATTCATACAGTATTGGGAGGTTAGAGAGGCGTTTAGTAAAAGCCAGACTAATGCTCTTCATCTACACAGATCTTATGATTGTTTCATTGATCTGTTGCTCGGGGCTATGCCTCCTAAAGGAGCAGTATATGCCCTATCCCCACAAGAAAGTAAAATCATGGATGAGTACATAAAGGAATCTTGACGTAAAGGCCATATACGTAAATCATCCTCGTCTGCTGTTGCAGGGTTCTTTTTACCTGCTAAGAAAGATGGAGAATTACGACCTTGCATAGACTACAGGGCATTAAACAAGATTACTATCAAAAATGGCTATTCCCATTCCCCTTATATCTGAATTGTTTGACTAGGGTGCGAATATCTTCACTAAGCTTGACCTTAGGAGTCCGTACAATTTGGTGAGAATTAGGGAGGATCATGAATGGAAGACAGAGTTTAACACTAGGAGTGGGCACTACGAATATCTTGTTATGCCCTTTGGGTTATGTAATGCTACGGCCGTATTTCAAGACTTCATTAATGAGACTATATTTACTCTTTTGTGCTTGTATACCTTGATGATATCCTTATTTACTCCCCCGACATCCAAACTCATAATGATCATGTCAAACAAATTTTACAAACTTTGCTTAAAAATGGTCTTTATTGTAAACTTCAGAAATGCGTATTTGATAAACATGAAGTTCAGTTTTTGGGGTATAGCATTTCTGCCTCTGGTTTCCAATTGGATCCTTGCAAACTAGAGGCCATTCTACAATGGCCATTACCCAATGAGTTAAAAGCCATACAAAGGTTTATTGGTTTCTCTAAATATTACAGGAGATTCATCAAAGGTTTCTCTTCGGTAATAGCCCCCATCATCAATATGACATGCAAGGGGGCTAATTCGACTATATGGTCTAAAGAAGCTAAAGAGGCTTTTGAGCTTCTTAAACAAATGTTTGCATCTGCTGACATATTAAGACATCCTAAAACTAGTAAATCTTTCCTATTTGAGGTTGATGCCTTCGAGACAGGGTCGGGGCTGTTCTTTCTCAGAGAGAGAGTCAGGATGCCCCTTTGCATCCTTGTGGTTACTTCTCCAGAAAGTTGTCTCCTGCAGAGCGTAACTATGACATTGATTCCAAGGATCCCATTCTGATTATTACTGATCACAATAACCTTGCATATATTGGGGATGCAAAATGACTGTCTTCTAGACAAGCTAGATCAGTGATGGCGAACCTATGGCACAGGTGGCACGCCAGGCCCTCTCTGTTGGCACGTGGCCATAAGTCGCAGGGAGCAGGAGCCGCTGTCTGTCTGCAGAGTAGGCACCTGCCTGCCCGAAACTCTGCTTCCGGGTTGGGAGGCATGGGGAGGGCTCTAGGAAGCAGCTCTCCTTTCCTCCTGCGAGCAAGCTGTGTGGAGCGTTGCCGCGCATTACCATGGCAATGCTCCACACATCATCGCGCGGGAGGATAGGAGAGCTGCTTCCTACAATACTTACCACCACCGGACCACCAGGGATGGCTGTGTCCCCCCTCCTTCACCAAAGGTAAGAGGAAGGGAGGGGGGATACAGAATTAATATAACTTTTATTTTTAAATGTATCTTTACATCCCCTACACCCCCCACACCCCCCTACACAGCACCCCTACCCCCCCACACAGCACCCCTACCCCCACATCATCCCTACCCCCCAGCACATCCCTCCCCCACAGCACCCCTCCCCCCAGCATCTACCCACAGCACCCCTACCCCCACAGCACCCCTACCTCCCAAACCCCTACCTCCCAAAGCACAGCACCCCTACCTCCCAAAGCACAGCACCCTACCCCCACACAGCACACCTAACCCCCAACACAGCACACTTAACCCCCCACAGCACCTCTAACCCCTACCTCCACACAGCACAGCACCCCTAACCCCTCCCCCCACACAGCACATCACCCCTACTCCGCACACCCACAGCACCCCTACCCACCACACACACACAGCACTCCCACACACAGTACCCACACACACAGCACCCCTCAGACACACACACAGCACTCCACACATACACTGCGCCCCTCAATGCAGTATGTATGTGTGTATTCATCAGTCTGTGTGTGTGTATATTCAGCAGTCTGTGTGTGTGTGTACTCAGCAGTCTGTGTGTGTGTGTACTCAGCAGTCTGTGAGTGCATTTACTCAGCAGTCTGTAAGTGTGTGTACTCAGCAGTCTGTAAGTGTGTGTACTCAGCAGTCTGTGTGTGTGTACTCAGCAGTGTATGTATTCAGCAGACTGTATGTGTGTATTCAGCAGTGTATGTATTTAGCAGTCTGTGTGTATTCAGCAATCTGTCCGTATGTGTATTTAGCGGACTGTGTGTGTATTTAGCGGACTGTGTGTGTATTTAGCGGACGGTTTGTGTGTGTATTTAGCGGACGGTGTGTGAATGTGTTCAGCAGTCTGTGTGTGAGTGTGTTCAGCAGTCTGTGTGTATGTATAGCATTTGTTGGAGATACTAATAAATATAAGCTTAATATTATCTATTTATATCATAATTTAAAATTTGTATCATTGAACTCTCTGTTGTGTTCTTCTTTTAAAACAAAAGTTGTTAATTAGTTCGGACAACTGTACGAGTAATTTTTTTCTAAACTTAAACCTCAGTATTCAGGTTTAATTGCCATGTTGGCACTTTGAGGAAAAAAAAGTTGGCATGTATTGCGGTTTGGGCACTCGGCCTCAAAAAGGTTCGCCATCACTGAGCTAGATGGTCATTTTTTGTCTCGCTTTAACTTCATTATCACCTAGAGACCCGGTTCTGAGAACGTTAAAGCTGACGCCTTGTCTAGGCAATTTGACGTTGAATCGGATCTAGAACAAGTGTGTTATTGCATCCACTGTCCGTTCTCTATCTTCCCCTTTGCTCCATGCTATCATGGCGGCTCAGCCCCAGGCACCTTGCAACAAACCTCAAGATAAATTGTTTATTCCATTGCCTGACAGGAAAGAGGTGCTGAAGGTATTCCATGACAATGTGACCGCTGGGTATCCGAGTATTAATAAAACTGTACCCGCCATTATACTAAAGATTATGTAGAAGCCTGCTCTGTCTGTGCAGTTTCGAAGGTTCCTCATAAACCTCTGTGTGGTTTGTTACAGCCACTTCCTTTACCCAGTATCCCATGGTCTCATTTATCGATGGATTTCATTGTTGAACTGCCTAGTTCCAATGAGTATACTACCATCCTCATGGTAGTTGACCATTTTTGCAAAATGGCACACTTTACCCCACTTAAAAAATTGCCATTGTTTCAGGACCTGGTGCACATATTTGTACGCGTTATATATATTGTCAGGCTACATGGTATTCCTCAAAATATTTTGTCTGGCAGGGGTTCCCGATTTGTATCACGGTTCTGGAGGGCATTCAATAAACAGTTGGGTATTGAATTGTTATTTTCCTCTGCTTATGATCCCCAAACTAATGGTATGGTTGAAAGAGCTAACCAATCACTTGAGCTGTATTTAATTGGCTTGGTGAATAGTACACAGTCTAACTGGGCCGAATTTGCAAGGAATAACGCTACCCATGACTCATCTGGGCATAGTCCATTTTTTGTCAATACAGGTCGTCATCCTGCTTTTCTCCCTGCTGTATTTTCTGATACAGCTATCCCTACTCTGGATGATCATCTTACCTCTATTTGTGATACCTGGACTAAGGTTCACTCCGCTCTTGAAACTGCGGCTGCTCACTTTAAATTTCATGTGGATAAACGGCGGAGTGCCAGTTCAGTTTACCAGGAGGGTGATTGGGTTTCGTTATCCTCAAGCAACATCAGGTAGAAGGTTCCCAGCATTAAGTTTGCTCTGAGGTTCCTTGGTCCTTTTCGTGTGGTTAGAAGAATCAACCCTGTTTCTTATTCTCTGGCCCTTTCTGCATCCTTACATATACCTAATGCTTTTCATGTGTCCTTGCTAAAACCACTTGTTTGCAATTAGTGATGTCACGAACCGTTCGCGAACTTGCCGTGAACGGTTCGCCACAAACCGTTCGTGGCGAACTCCGGTCAGCTGACACATCCCTGCCAATCTCCGGCAGTCTCTCCCTCCCAGACCCTCCCACCTCCTGGACAGCATCCATGTTGAAGCTGCCTTCAACATGGATGCTGTCCAGGAAGTAGGAGGGTCTGGGAGGGAGAGTCTGCCGGAGATTGGCAGGGATGTGTTAGCTGACCGGAGTTTTTTCAGAATCAGCATACTCCAAATACAAACATATGTCAAAATCATACAAATTGGTCCAATGGTTCAAAAGATAGATCGTAGTCCTTTGTGACCAAAGGAAGCATGGTTTTTCTGCCCAAAACCAGTTCCACAGAGTCTTCTATCCTGGAGGTAATTGGGAAGTAATCCAATTATCTCCAAAGACAGAGGCAAAACTCAATTGAACACATGGCAGCAAAAGACAATAAAACACGTAAAAACATATAACTGTGCAGCCATTGCACAAAACAGGTACATTCAACATATCCCCAGATTATTACTGAATGGAGCTCAGAGCACACACATACAGTTCAATTTCCATAGCTATCTGGGGTATCACCGCTCAAACAGGGCAAGCACCAAATGACCCAGCTTTCATGTCTTTGCAGGTAAAAAGCAAGCCTTTTAACATGGGGCCATAATCCAAAGGCAACAGGCAAGCAACCAGGCTTCTCCAATGCAATGTGGCGAGATTGGTCTCGTCACAGGTAGTTTTACTTGAATATGTTATACCCCAGATACGAATCCCATGGAGCCCATTCGCATGAGAACTGACTGTGTAAAGACTTTGGCTCCATGGCGATTACACTGTATTCGTGTGGTCTGAGCGCCATTCGCTTAATAATGTGCGCTCAGACCTGAGCTATCTGGGGACATGTTAAATGTATAGTTTTATTGTAACTTGTGTCATACTGTGTATTTTAATAGTAATTCATGTTTTAGTATCCCCACGTGCATAATGGTGATTTGCCTTTGTCTTGGGAGATAATAGAATTACTTCTCAATTATCTCCAAGGCAGAGGGGAGAAGCCAGGATGCATTGTGGGAATATAATGTGACTGTGTGTCCTATTTGTCTACTTGTCTGTCTTTTGTCACAGTCTCCCATTTGGTCCCCTAGGGGAGTGTCCACCAGGTGGGAGACCTGCATAAATACTGGGCAGGTAGCCCTCATTAAACAGACCACTGCTTGACCCTCAACACGGAGCCTTGTCTCGTCTTTGGGGGGATTTACTGAACGCTGATAGAGGCTGATTGCTAGGAGTGTAAGCCGCTTGGATGCTTTTCCTATTCGTCTGCTAGCAGTGATTCGTATGGTTCCAGTTCGTGTGCTTGGAGTGCTATATTGTATGCCGTTCGGGAGTTTGAAGCATTCCCTTATTGGCGGTTCATGAGTTTGGTGTCCTACAGTAGCTGTGCCTGCATCTCTGAAAAGGGGGCGATCGCCTAAAGTTTTTTACCCCTTGTGTGCAAAACGGTCCGTTATGGGGGGGCACATAGAGGGCCAGGGACAAAAGTAGGGGGGCACATTTAACCCCGCCCTCAGTTTGACCCCGCCCCTGCTGCATGTTACACCCCACCCCCGACACAATGTGTGTGTGTTTTTTTTTTCTTTAATAATCCCTGGTGGAGAATTCATTATATTCCGCCAACGATTATTAATAAACAAACACATTTCCCTTGATACAGTCCATACACACACACACACACACACAGACTGCTGAGTCCTTACACATAGAGAGACTGCTGAGTCCATACACACACACAGACTGCTGAGTCCATAAACACACACATAGACACAGACTGCTGAGTCCATACAAACACAGACACAGACTGCTGAGTCCACACACACACACACAGACTGCTGAGTCCACACACACAGACTGCTGAGTCCACACACACAGACTGCTGAGTCCATACACACAGACTGCTGAGTCCATACACACACAGACTGCTGAGCCCATACACACACAGACTGCTGAGCCCATACACACACAGACTGCTGAGCCTATACACACATACAGACTACTGAATCCATACACACACAGACTGCTGAGTCCATACACATACAAACTGCTGAGTCCATACACACACACAGACTGCTGAGTCCACACACACACACAGACATATAGACTTCTGAGTCCAAACACACACACACACAAAAACACACACTGCTGAGTACACACACACACACACACAGACTGCTGAGTGGACACACACACACACACACAGACTGCTGAGTCCACACACATATACAGACTGCTGATACACACACAGAGACTGATGAGTCCATACACAAACAGAGACTGCTGAGTCCATACACACACACTGCTGAGTCCATACACACATACAGACTGCTGAGTCCATACACACACAGACTTCTGAGTCCATACACACACACACACGCACAGACTGCTGAATCTATACACACACACACACACTGCTGAATCCATACATACACACACACACACAGACTGCTGAGTCCATACACATACAGACTGCTGAGTCCATACACACAGACTGCTGAGTCCATACACACAGACTGCTGAGTCCATACACATACAGACTGCTGAGTCCATACACACGCAGTGCTGAGTCCATACAAACATACAGACTGTTGAGTCCATACACACCGCTGAGTCCATACACACACACAGACTGCTGAGTCGACACACACACACACAGACTGCTGAGTCCATACACACACACAGACGGCTGAGTCGACACACACACACACTGCTGAGTAAATACACACACACTGCTGAGTCCATAAACACACACATACAGACTGCTGAGTCCATACAAACACACTGCTGAGTCCATACACACAGACTGCTGAGTCCATACACACACAGAGACATACAGACTTCTGTGTCCATACACACACACAGACTGCTGAGTCCATACACACAGACTGCTGAGTCCATTCACACATACAGACTGCTGAGTCCATACACACATACAGACTGCTGAGTCCATACACACACTGCTGAGTCCATACACACATACAGACTGCTGAGTCCATACACACACACAGACTGCTGAGTCCATAAACACACACACACACACACACAGAGAGACTGCTGAGTCCATACACACACAGACTGCTGAGTCCATACACACACACAGATACACACACAGCTGCTGAGTCCATACACACACACACACACTGCTGAGTCCATACACACACACACACACACACTGCTGAGTCCATACACATACAGACTGCTGAGTCCATACACACACACAGACTGCTGAGTCCATACACACACAGCCTGCTGAGTCCATACACACACAGCCTGCTGAGTCCATACACACACACACTGCTGAGTCCATACACACACACACTGCTGAGTCCATACACACACACACAGATTGCTGAGTCCATACACACACACACACACAGACTGCTGAGTCCATACACACACAGAGACTGCTGAGTCGACACACACACACACACACATACAGACTGCTGAGTCCATACACACACACAGACTGCTGAGTCCATACACACACAGAGACTGCTGAGTCCATACACACATGGTAACGGACCATTTCAGCACACAATGGGTTAAAACCGTTTAGGCGATCGCCCCCTTTCAGAGATGCAGGTACAGCTACTGTAGAACACCAAACTCCCGAACCGCATGTAAGGGAATGCTCCAAACTCCCGAACGGCATACAATATAGCACTCCAAACACACGAACTGTAAACATACGAATCACTGCTAGCAGACGAATAGGAAAAGCATCCAAGCTGCTTACACTTCTAGCAATCAGTCTCTATCAGCATTCAGTAAATTCCCCCAAAGACGAGACAAGGCTCCGTGTTGAGGGTCAAGCAGTGGTTCGTTCAATGAGGGCCACCTGCCCAGCATTTATGCAGGTCTCCCACCTGGTGGACACTCCCCTAGGGGACCAAATGGGAGACTGCGACAAAAGACAGACAAGTAGACAAATAGGACACACAGTCACATCACACCCCCACAATGCATCCCGGCCTTCCCCCATCCGCCCCGGAGACAACCGAGAAGCAATCCAAAAAGATGTCTTTTAACATGGGGCCATAGTCCAAAGGCAGCAGGCTAGCAACCAGGCTTCTCCAATGCAATGTGGCGAGATTTCTCTCGTCACACACATACAGACTGCTGGAGCCCATTCGCATGAGAACTGACTGTGTAAAGACTTTGGCTCCATGGCGATTACACTGTATTCGTGTGGTCTGAGTGCCATTCACACACACAGACTGCTGAGTGCATACACACACACTGCTGAGTCCATACACACATACAGACTGCTGAGTCCATACACACATACAGACTGCTGAGTCCATACACACACACTGCTGAGTCCATACACACACACTGCTGAATCCATACACATACACTGCTGAATCCATACACACACACAGACTGCTGAATCCATACACACACACACAGACTGCTGAGTCCATACACACATACAGACTGCTGAATCCATACACACATACAGACTGCTGAATCCATACACACATACAGACTGCTGAATCCATACACACATACATACTGCTGAGTCCATATACACATACAGACTGCTCTGTCCATATACACATACAGACTGCTGAGTCCATACACACATACAGACTGCTGAGTCCATACACACATACAGACTGCTGAATCCATACACAGAGACTGCTGAGTCCATACACACACAGAGACTGCTGAGTCCATACACACACAGATTGCTGAGTCCATACACATACAGACTGCTGAGTTTATACACACACACTGTAACGGATCACCTGGCACCCCGACTGGGTACATCCGTTGAAGGATGCTCCTAGCGTTTTCTGAGGACTCCAAGCACTCTGGCAGACACCACAATCACTGAACCGGAGAAGCATATACCTTCTCTCAAGCATATGAATGCTATAAACAGCTGAATAGGCAAAAACCATACGGATGGGTTTAGACTCCTAGCAGTCGAACTGGAACAGCATACAATAAATCCTTCCCCAATAATGAGACACCACTTCACTTTGAGGGTTAAGCAGGAACTGTATTACTTGGCACCAAAGGGCCTTCTTTTATGCAGGTTTTCCCTACATAGGACCACCCACAGGGTTTTTCAGAACAACCAATAAACACATTACAACATATACAATGCAAGTACAGCAGCCAATCAGACACAATGGGACAATAGAAACACACCCATCATATTCCTCCCCTCTGCTTAGGAGATAATTGAGTCAATGACTGTATCTACTCAATTATCTCCAAGCTGAAAAGTTACACTTTTTATACATTTTTATAGCTTTGTGAGCTTGCATCACATACGAATAAAACTTATATTTCTGTGATCAGCATAACTTGGGGAGCAACATATGTAAAAATCACATGAATCCATAAAGGGGTTAAAAAGTTAGGTTGAGGTCCCTTTATTATCAATTGCAAGCATGGCTTTTCCTTCCCAAACCAGTTCCCACTGGTCTGGCAGTGTCCCTGGGACAACTCCCTGCTGGAGAACAATGGAGGTGGGGGAGGGGAAGAGCCTCACCTTCCCAGGGATTCAAAGGGGAAGAAAAAGTGTCCAAAAAGTTTCCATGTGTCCATACACTATTTTTAAAAGGGCCAGCACTGTACAATAAAAGTCCATAAGCCCAAATCAGTTCTTAAAGGGCAATACATCCCAGGGCCATAGTCGCAGGGCAGGAGGCTAGCAATCAGTCCTCTCCAATGCCCAGTGGCGAGGTCGGTTTCGCCACACACACACACACACATACAGACTGCTGAGTCCATACACACATACAGGCTGCTGAATCCATACACACACACAGACTGCTGAGTCCATACACACATACAGACTGCTGAATCCATACACACATACAGACTGCTGAGTCCATATACACATACACACACACAGACTGCTGAGTCCATACACACATACAGACTGCTGAGTCCATACACACATACAGACTGCTGAGTCCATACACACACACACACACACTGCTGAGTCCATACACACACACTGCTGAGTCCATACACACATACAGACTGCTGAGTCCATACACACATACAGACTGCTGAGTCATACACACACACTGCTGAGTGCATACACACACACAGACTGCTGAGTCCATACACACACACACACACAGACTGCTGAGTCCATACACACACATACACAGACTGCTGAGTGCATACACACACACTGCTGAGTCCATACACACACACAGACTGCTGAGTCCATACACACACACAGACTGCTGAGTCCATACACACATACAGACCGCTGAGTCCATACACACATGCTGAGTCCATACACATACAGACTGCTGAGTCCATACACACACACACACTGCTGAATCCATACACACACACTGCTGAGTCCATACACACATACAGACTGCTGAGTCCATACACACAGACTACTGAGTCCATACACACACACAGACTGCCGAGTCCATACACACACGCACACAGACTGCTGAGTCCATACACACATACAGACTGCTGAGTCCATATACACATACAGACTGCTGAATCAATACACACAGACTGCTGACTCCATACACACATACAGACTGCTGAATGCATACACGCATACAGACTGCTGAGTCCATACACACATACAGACTGCTGAATCCATACACACACACACACACACTGCTGAGTCCATACACACACAGACTGCTGAGTCCATACACACAGACTGCTGAGTCCACACACACACACTGCTGAGTCCATACACACATACAGACTGCTGAGTCCATACACACATACAGACTGCTGAGTCCATACACACACACAGACGGCTGAGTCCTTACACAGAGACTGCTGAGTCCATACACACATACAGACTGCTGAATCCATACACACATACAGATTTCTGAGTCTACACACACACACACACACACAGACTGCTGAATCCATACACATACAGATTGCTGAGTCCATACACACACAGTCACACACACTGCTGAATCCACACACGCACACAGACTGCTGAGTCCATACACATACAGACTGCTGAGTCCATACACACATACAGGCTGCTGAATCCATACACACACACTGCTGAGTCCATACACACACACAGACTGCTGAGTCCATACACACATACAGACTGCTGAATCCATAAACACATACAGACTGCTGAATCCATACACACATACAGACTGCTGAGTCCATACACCCATACAGACTGCTGAGTCCTTACACAGAGACTGCTGAGTCCATACACACATACAGACTTCTGAATCCATACACACACACAGACTGCTGAGTCCATACACACACAGACTGCTGAGTCCATACACACATACAGACTGCGGAGTCTATACACACACACACACAGACAGACTGCTGAATCCATACACACATACTGACTGCTGAATCCACACACACACACACAGACACACACACAAGCTTCCTCACTAGCAGGCAGGCAGACAGACAGACACACACGCACACACACACACCTGAGCATATCAAACTTACCTGTTGCTGGGGGTCATCTTCTTGCCTCTCCAGCAGCAGCATGGTCTGCTGCTTAACGGTGGGGGCGGGGCGTATGTGCTGGAGGTGGGGCTTCATTTGGGGCCTATGCCAGGGAAGCTGCTGAAAACACCCAGCAGTGTTCCAGCTGCTCTGTCCTGCATGCCCTCGGGCTGTCACACACTGTTACATCCCGAGGGAATAGAATTGAAACACATGGCCAGCAAGTTGCGGGGGGCACAGCATGATGTAGGTGGGCCCACCCTAGCGACGCCACTGACTACAGAATGGATACAAATCATGCAAGATAAAAAATAATAGTAATATACATGTAACGGACCTTTTTGCTCACCAGAGGTTAAAAAACGTTTAGGCGATATTCCCCTTTCCAGATACGCCAACAGCTACTGTAAGCACCGATCTCCCGAACTGG